AGAAAATCTGAACAGACCAATTACTGATTCAATTTTGTTTCTAGTAATCAAAAATCTCCAAACAAATGAAAGTCCAAGACCAGACAATTCATAGATTAATTCTACCAAACATTTGATGAAGAATTAATATTTATTCTCAAAATATTCCAAAAAGTTGAAGAGGGAAGGCTTCCAAACTCATTTTATGAGGCCAGCTGATATTAAAACTAGACAAAGACATCACAAAAAAATGAAAATTACAGGACAATATACTTGATGAACAGAGATGCAAAATACCTCAACAAAATAGTAGCAAACCAAACTCAGCAATACATTTAAAAGATTATACACAACGATCAAGTGGGAGCCATCCCAGGGGATGTAAAGATGGCTCACTATATACAAATCCATCAACATGATACAAACAAATGAAATGAAGGATAAAAATCATATTTAACCTCAGTAGACGCAGGAATAAAAGAGCATTTGAGAAAATTCAACATCCTTGTGTGATAAGAACTCTCAATAAATTAGGTATAGAAGGAACATACCTCAACATAGTAAAGGTATATGATAAATCCACAGCTAACATTGTACTCAGTGTTGAAAAGCTGAAAGGTTTTCTCTAAGATCAGGGACAAGACAAAGATGCCCACAATACTCAAAATAGTATTGGAAATTCTAGCCACACCAATCAGGAAAAATAAATCAAAGGTATTCAGATTAGAAAGGAAGAAGTAAAAATGTAAGTATTTGGAGATCACATGATGCTGTACATAGAAAATCCTGCCCTGGCTGATAGGCTCACCTCTGGTTCACCAGTTTGATTCCCAGTCAGGGCACATGCCTGGGTTGAGGGCCAGGTCCCCAGTTGGGGGCACACAAGGGGCAACCACACATTGATGTTTCTCTCCCTCTCTTTATCCCTCCATTCCCCTCTCTTTGAAAATAAATAAAATCTTAAAGAAAAAGAAAACCCTAAAGAATACACCAAAAAACTACTAGAACTAATAATAAATGAATTCTGTAAAGTTACAAGATACAAAATTAGTGTTCAGAAATCTGTGGCATTTCTTTTTTCTTAATTTTTAAAAAACATTTTACTTATTCGCAGATATGTAGTATAATATCAAATTATACTACAAAGCTCTAGTAATCAAACAGCATAGTACTGATGTAAAAACAGACACATAGATCAATGGAACAGAATAGAGAGCCCAGAAATAAACCCATACATATACAGTCTATTAACCTATAACAAAGGAGGCAAGAATATACAATGGGTTAGGCAGTCTCCTCAGTAAATGGTGCTGGGAAAAGTGTACAGGTACATGCAAATGAATGAAACTAGACCACTTTCTTACATTATATACAAGAATAAACTCAAAATAGATTGAAGACTTAAATGTTAAGACATAAAACTTCTAGAAGAAAACATAGGCAGTGAAATCTCTGACACTTCTCCTAGTAATATTTTTTTCTAATATAGCCCCCCTTGGGCAAGGGAAACAAAAGATAAATAAATGGCACTACATCAAACTAAAAAGGTTTTGCACAGCAAGGGAAAAGATTGACAACACAAAAAAGATAACCTATCAAATGGAAGAAAATATTTTCCAGTGATAAATCTGATAAGAGATTAATATCCAAAATATATTTTAAAGCATTTAATTTAACACACACACAAAACCAAACAATCTGAATTAAAAATGGGTAGAAGACCTAAATAGACATTTATCCAAAGAACATATACCAAGGGCCAATATTTCATATTTGAGACATATGAAAATATGCTCAACATCCCTAATCCTCAAAGAAATGCATATTAAAAGCACAATGAGATACCATCTCACATCTGTCAAAATGGCTATAGTCAATAAATCAATAAACAGCGGGTGTTGGTGAGGATGTGGAGAAAAGGGAACCCTCCTGCACTGTTGGTGGGATTGCAAACTGATGCAGCCACTATGGCAAACAGTATGGAGATTCCTCAAAAAATTAAAAATAGAACTACCTTATGACCCAGCAGTTCCACTTCTTGGTATTTATCTGATGAAATCCAAAACACTAATTCAAAAAGATACATGCACCCCTGTGTTCACTGCAGCATTATTTACAATAGCCAACGTAGAGAACCAACCTGAGTGTCCACTGTTAGATGGTTGGATAAAGAAATCATGAAGCACGTATATGCAATGGACTTATACTCGGCCATGAAAGAATGAATTCTTGCCATTGTGAAAACATGGATGGAACTAGAGAGAGTTATGTTAAGTGAAATAAGTCGGACAGAGAAAGACAAATACCATATAATTGTAGGTATACGTGGAATCTAAAAACCAATACAAATGATCAAACAAAATGAAACAGAAACAAACTCAGAGATACAAAGAAAAAACTGATGGTGGCCAGAGGGGAGGGGTTTGGGCAGGAAAGGGGAAGGGCATTGAGTGGAAACTGCCAGTTATGAAATAGGTCACAGGGATGCAGAGCACAGCATAGGGGACAGAGTCAATAATATCACAGTAACTCTAGATGGTGACAGATGGTCACTAGACTTATTGTGGTGATCACTTTGTAAAGTAACTGAGGGTTGAATCAGCTATGATTAAAAATAAATTTTTTAAAACAAAAAATAAGTACAAGAAATATTTCCAAATTCTAAATTACCTATGATCAGGACTCGACTTTGGGGACACAATTCACCCAACAACAGGTTTGAAATGTGGGGGGTCTCTAGGAGGCCCTTTTTGTAATGGAAGACACCCTTGGAGAAATGACCCTTCAGCCCTTCTCAGAAAGGCTTACACGTATTAACAGAACTGTTCGAGTTGATCTTAGTGCCTCATTTGAGCAAATGATACAGTGATGATACCACTTTGGAGACTGGGATAGCAGAGATCTGTGCGATCCAATATGGCGAAAAGCAGCTTTGTGGAGAGAAGGGATGTATGCTGAGCCTTCACACTTCCTCCATCTTCTTCCTCTCTGGAAGTAGCCCCAGGGCACTCCCACACTCGTGGCAAAAAGAATAGGGGGCAAAGAGCTACCACCGATGCCCCTTCTCCATCCACTGTCCACGAAGGCTTCGGGAGAGGCTTGCTAAGAGATTGGAGTGGCTCTGTCATCCAGACTTCCATGCTAAGCCCGGTTCCAAAGCCAGAAGCCTGGGAAGGAATCTTTCCCTGTTCTGAACAGCAGCCCGCCGGGCGCACCCCCAGGGCGCACCCCCAGGGCCCGTGGAGAAGGCCAGCCGCTCCAGGGGGAGAGGTGTGGGAGACAAAAAGCTTAAATTTCTTTCCTCAGTAGGAATACTTGGCTGAAACATGTTACTCCTTCTCAAATGTCAGAGCACCCAAGTTTCCTGTGGCCTTTAGGAGAGATGGATTGTTATCATGGGTGTAAGAAGAGGCCTGAAGAAGAAAAGGGTGAGCAATGAAGAGGTCTGGGGTTCCAGGAACATTACCTGTTGCCTATTCTCAAGGGCACTTAAAATTTGCTCACAAAATGGAATTTCACAGATAACAGAAAACATCCATTTCTCAAAAAAAAAAGAAAGAAAAGAAGAAAAAAAGCACTGTCAAGGGAATGTGTTCTGAGGAGATAAAAAGTATTTTTTTTTCCTTTATGGCCTGAGGGTGAAAAAGCAGAGAGACAAAAATACTGTCACAGGTTTTGAGCAAAGAGAGTATTACCTCAATTTCTACTTCTTACAAAGGACAGATGCCTGTGAAAAAAGCTTTCCTTCGGGACTATTCAGATCCTTTCCATAAAGGAGAAAGAAAGACAGCCAGAGCTCCAAGAGGCACTCAAGCAAAGTTTGAAACAATTTCACTTTATAGAAGAGTAATCTGGAATTTGGACCATATGGAATTCCTTCCAGACCAGGAGTTTGTGGGCGAGGCAGCCTGCCCCTACACTGTGTGGTGGTCGTTCCTCAGAAAATCTAGCCTAATTCCCTCCTTCATGTGTGAAGAAAGCAGGACCCTCCTTCCCCCGACAGCTAAGGGGCTTCTTGCCCAGACCTAGTTAGGGCAGAACAAGGTAACAAATTTTATACTTGTTGTAGGAATTATCTGTGTATGTCTGATGCCTTCATCTCCATGGTACATTTCTGGGGGGCAGGGACCACATTACTCACTCTGCTGAGTGATGCTCAGAAAGCTTTGGGTAGTTGGCCACCTGGGAGGTTGCTTGGTACTCTGAATGGTATGCCTGATAAAAGCAAGAGCTGTAGGATCAATACTGCCTATGTCCAGATCTCACTGCACCACTTATCAGCTAGATAACATTGTGCAAGTTCTTAACTTCTGTAGGTCTTACATTCCTCATTTGTAAAACAGCGGGAATCATATTTACCTGACAGTACTGCTGTGAAGATTAAATGAACCGATGCACGTAAAAACATTGCATTCAGCTGTTGCATAACGATACTGTAGAGCAAAATACCTGCACACTAAGGCCTTTAAAACTATAATCTTTTATTTTTTGTTCTGCGTCTATAGGTCCACTGAGGTGCCGCTGAGCTAGCCAGGCTCGTCGGCTTGGCTGCCAGCTGTCATTGGTCTAAATGGGCTTCATAAGCCTTTCATCCTGCTTGGGTCAGTGGCTGCGCAAGCCCTGTTGCCACGGTGATGGCAGAAGCTCATCAGGACAGGGTCCCCCTTCTGCGCATGCCACAGCCCCACAGGGATCATGTCTACTAATGTCCCATTGCCCAAAGCAAGTCACAGAGCTGAATCCTCAGTGCAGAAGTAGAGCAGTGTTCATGGCCCCCAGGTGACCATGGCAAGGTAGAATGTCTAACACTGCTGCAGGGCGTGGAGACTCGTCACTGAGAATCCAGTTTAATACACACCCTTTGCACAGTACCTGATACATAACAGGTTTATTATTATAGATTGTTATGGAACTTTCCTTGGTAGATATATAATGTCTTCCATCATTAATAGAAATTGTGGACATTCACTTTACAAAGAATAGTTTTTGATATTTTCTTAATTTCTTTTCTCTTCCTGCAGACGTGATTTGCACCAAAGACAACTTATCAGCCAGGTTCTGCCAGACACTGAAAACCATGCAGAAATGCTCTGTGCCCACCGTGCGGGCTCAGTGCTGCCTCTCATGTTCCCAGACACACGTCATCCACACCCAAAGGCCAAGAAAGCCACAGTCGCTCAAGAACCCCAATGCATACTGAGTCCAGGAGGAAGCCACCCACCACCGTAGACTGCCGCAGCCTGCTGACTGTGACCTGTTCTGTCCCCAGGGACCACTTCATGGAGGCTTTGCTCTGCATTTCAGGTCCAACTTTGGGTCATAACAAAACAAAAGCCACTGTGTTCTGTTAGCCACAAAATGTCCCTTGCAGGGGGGTGGGTCTATAACATTTGCTGCTCCCTGACAGTCAGGCAAGATCACCAGGAGAATGAGGCATCTCCTGGGCTCAGCTCCTGGGAAAGGTGCCAAATCAGGCAAGTCTGTGAAATGATGTCTTTTTTTCACCCATCAAAGAGAAAAAAACAAAGAAACCAGAGTTTTCCCAGACTACCTCAAAAGTATCAGGAAACAGAGCCACACTTATCCAAGGAACAAAGAATCTTGTTAGTTGATCTAGGTGGAATCATTCCTCCCCATGTCTGCTGGGGGCGGCTGCTGTTTAAAATGCCATGGGAGAGCTCTTAGGGACATTCCCTTCATTCACCCAGGTGGACGGCCCCTTTCTTCACCCAGTGTTCAACTAGGGAGGAAGAGAAAGTCCCGGTTGCATCCCTCAGTCTGTCCCCAATCCCTGCAGACCCTGTATCTGGGCAGAAGAAGCAGGCAGCAATTAATAGGACTTAGTAAAGCTCAGGGATTTAGGTTACACAGAAGACATTGCTGAGCTGAGGATAATTTCCATGAAAACTCTTACAAAGCAAATGAACAGAACGGTTGACCCTTGAACAACATGGGTTTGAACTTACACAAGAATGTTTTTCAACTAATGCTTGTACTGTCTTCCATCTGCAGTGGGGATTCCGTGGATATGGAGGATAGACTGTATCCATTGATCTCTGCCATTTTTTGTAGGGGACTTGAACATCCACACATTTTCGTATCTGTGTGGTCGGGGAGAGGGGGCGGTCCTGGAACCAATACCCCACAGATACCGAGGGACACTCACATGGCAGGTGGAGTCAGAAGTTAAAGTATGTGGATTTTTGACTGCGTGGGGATTGGCACCCCACCCCGCTGCCTTGTTCAAGGGTCAGCTGTATTCATGTAAGAAAGGGATCATAGGCCTTTATTCTTCCTACTTTTCCTGGGAAGTTCCTATCCTTGGCAGAAGAGCCCTTCCCTCTGCAGCCTATTCCTTGCCCACATCATCGGCTCAGGGCGAACCATCTTTCACTGCTGGGGGTTTACTCACAGCAACTGCAAGGGCCTAGTCCCTGCTGCCTCTCCAGCCCAGGTGGCAGAAGGATGCTCCGGGTTAAAATACTTCAAAGAACTTAGTACACATTTTTAGTCTGGGGGGAAAAAATACTGCTCAAAAGTGAGGTAAAGATGAACTACTCCTTGGTGCACCCAGTAGGTACTTATGAGGGTCTTTTTGTTTGAGAGAAACAGGCAAGTCAGGGGGAGCCCACAAAACTGAAATGATAGTGAGGAGGCCTATCCTGGACGTTCCCACCACTCAACAGGAGTCAGAGTAGGCTCTGGTCTCAAATTCAAGGTGAACAAAATTTTTGCAGAACAAAAATTCTCCTGGTTTCTAAGAAGAGGCATTTACATTAACTGAACCCAAAGGGAGAGGGTGGGTGAAGCTCTCAGAGCCCTCTCTTGACAGAAGAGAAGGCAGGGATGTGGCCTTTGTGTGATGGACAGCATATTTTCATACTCAAACACAGGTACAACTAATATTCAGCATGGAGTGCCGTGTCTCATATCTTGAATTATATATCCGTTCAGCAGAATGGTGCTACTGAAAAATGGTGCTAATAACTAGATGGTGGCAGAACAGAAATAAACATTTAAATAGATGTAGGCCTGGGGAAAGTCCATAGACAACTTCTGTTACATGGGTAATGAATGGTGTTGCTGGCCAATGCCAGTTCTATTGCCTGGATGCCAGAAACTTAACATTTTTATATTTTGTGCTTTTCACTTTTTTTTAAGCCATTAGTGTATATTATTGTGATGAATTTCTATGGAACATAGACACTCGGGTTCAGATAAAATTCAGGATAGACCAGAAACAGGAAGAAAGTGGAAATATTTGCCTAAAGCAAGGAAGTTTATTTCTGGATACTAAGTGCTGTCTTGTCTTATCTCTCTTCAGATAGAAACATTGCCGGCCGATGACAATCTCTTGTGAAATAATAGTTTTAGAGAGAAGATGCTTAACTTGCTAGTGATGTGAGTGGAGGACAACCTGATTTATTTCTGATGAGGCAATTCACAGAGACTGTCCCTGAAGGGTAGTGTAGGCTTTCGGGGGACTACTTTAGTAAACCGGATTGATTTAACCTGGTGCTGTACTATCATAAGGTCACGCATGTCGTCAGACCTGAGATGACCAGTCTTACAAAACTCAGGAACAAACTTGGCTTCCTACTGACCTGAACAAACTTAACTAGGCTTGATTTACCAATATACAAAATGTTATTATTACCTATGTGGCGAAGATGGTAGAAATGTAGGGAGAGCCTGGCCAGGTGCTTTATTTTCGGCCTTGCTCCTGTTTCTCAAAGGCAGAGGAATAGCCCCTAATCATGCCTTCCAGGCATTCACTTCCCACGCTGAGGCTGTGTTGTGAGACAGTCAGGTGGCATCTGTCAACCCTAACCCTAGGATAAAGATAGCACTTGCTATTGGAGCCATCTGACATGGTTGTTGCCTTGACAGTCACTCAGCATGGGGTCATTGGGTTTTGCAAGGTCCCTGTGCTTGTAATGAGAGAGGGGCCTCAAATTATCAGGAAAACCAAAGACAAGAACATAGATGGGGTCTTCATCATTTCTTTGGTGCTCACAGGGACCAACAAGAAGCAACGCTGTTGGTTTATTTCACCCATATCCTCCTTCCTTTCCAACTTGAACAAGCACCTGAAAGGTATAGAAAGAGACACTGGACACACGCCCCCCCATGAACCAAGCAGGGCTGTCCCAGGACCTGGTGCTCAAATACATGAAGGTTCTCAAACCCACTTTGGTTTACATTGCCTTTCACAGTGGTAGAGTTAGTTCTTCTCTGAAAAGTTGTGTGTTAATTTAATTCTTGAACACAAAACCTATTCTAACACCATGAGAAAATATTTCAAGAGACTAGTCAGTGAAACAAGAAATCACTTGGTGTTACACACAATTGCCTCCTTGAAGGAATGACTTGTTTTATGATGGGTTTTCTTAAACAAGAGCAAACCTCAAACCTCCATCTTATCTCCTGACACCCAGTAGGCAGAGTCATCCCAAAGTGAAGCTTTCAGACATTTAGTGAACATTTTTAATAACCATCAAGTTTCTGAAACACAATTTGAGGGGTTTATATTTTTTCAGATCATAATTCCCTCAATCAGTTGGCTAAAGTCTTCTAAACTCTGCAAGCTACACATTGCTACCCCAGAAGTTGCAAGTCTCAGCCCTTCTCCCTCCTGATTTGAGGATGAAGTCCTGGGACAGTGTATCTGGTACCCACTGTACAGCGATTCACTTTCAAGGGAGAGAACACATGACGTGAACAGCCTGGTGCTACAACTTAGCCAACATATTTGATGTTACTCTTAGTTTTTGTATTGCTAATTCAAATATTATTGATACTATTAGCATTATTATTATTTTAAGTTATATCCTTTTTTTTAAAAAAACATGGTTGGGAAGCACAATTCTACCTATCATTGTCCTCCAAAATGGTTGTATGATGTAATGACCCAACCTATTGCCTCCCTGCATCTCTGTGCTGCTTTGCCAGGCCCAGCCGTAAGGGGTACCCTGCTGGGCACCTCAGTATTTAAAACTAGACTGTAATCATAGCCTGCCATTGTGTGGCATCAATAAATGGCCAAAGTCATCAATGCTTCCGTGCGATTCATTTACCCCTGCCGCAACACTGCCACGCCCACCACTGGTACCCTGGAGAAGAATTGCAGACAAACTCTTCCATACTCCTTGCAGATTCCCTCCAGCTTCACCCCTACATCGGCTTGTATGTAGCCACATCCCAGGGGAGGTGGAGAACTTTGGTCTCTTCTCGTGAATGACTATGCAACAACTGACTGTTGCATGATAATCTGATGTTATGCCTAAAATTCTCCGCAATACCTGATCCAATGTATTCAGCATTATTTATCTTCCATCCCAAGTGTAGACGTGATGCTTAAGAGAAAGTAACTCACATCTAGAGGAATTTGTTTTGGAAATCCAGTCTTTTCAAAGATGGTGCACAACACAGTATGTGCAATGAGCAAAAGTAGAATTTGGACATATGGATGTGGAATCCACTCATAAGGAATGATTAGCAGCACTGAGGCAGGAAGAGCCAGGCATCTGCAGGCAGTCCCTAGAATGTGTGAGGGCACACATCGTGGTAGAAAATGTGTTTTTCGGTCGAGACGACACCAGAGAGAGTCATGAACACCTCCCTGATTGTACCTTCGAAACTCCTCTCTGACAATTGGGTAACTTATGTCCTACAAAGCTCAGTTCAAGTGCTGCTTCCCCAAGAAGCCCACACTTTCCCTGCCAGAAAGGCGAGGCCTGTCTCTGCTCCTTCTTCACCTTGTCCATTCTCTTCAAGTAGTTCTTGATCAAGGGGATTTTGTCCCCCAGGAGACATTCTACGATGGCTGGAGACGTCTTTGGTTTTCACAGCGGGTCGGGGAGGAGTGCTTCTGACATCGAGTGGGTAGAGGCCAGGGATGCTGCTAACATCCTACAGGATGGCTCCTCCCCCGGCTCAAAATGTCAAAGGTTCTGAAGTTGAGAAACTGCACTAGAATGGTGATCCTCTGGGAATGAGTAGCAGGGTTCTGGGTTGGGGAAAACTGGGCTTACCTGAAAATTCAGACCTCATAAAAGGACTGATGAAGAAAAATAGTATATCAGGATTCAAAGCACATCAGCTTGATAAAAAGCATCTTGATGTTGAAAGGGAGAGATGGCAACTCCAAATGAGTCCTAGACCAGCCCCTGGGGGCCCAGGTGTCTCAATTCCAGAGCC